AACAGTATTAATAATATAAGTTATTTGTTTGTTAGTAATATTTTTGGTATTAGCAATATTGGCTAACTGTATTGCTTTATTTTGAATCAGTTTGATTTGCTAGATATGCTTATTGTTTAAAGTAAACCAACACCCCAAAAATTTAAAGAGCTGATAAATAGAAATAAAAGTAAGGTTGGAGTTAAGAAAAGAGATAGATGTAGAAGGTTGTTTCAAAATAAAGATAGACTTAGATAAGTTGACTTGGATATTAGCTATTTTATAAAAGGAAGCTACTGTATTAATAATTTTGTCAAGTTCATCTTTAGATTGGGTAATCTATATAGTATTATTTATATAAGCTAGAACTAATACAAAGGTGTGAAGATAGCTAGTAGATGGTAGAGTAAGAAAGAGTTGCTATAATGAGAAGAGAGTATATTCAGGAAATTGGATTGATATATATATAATAAGGTAGTCATAGTAGATTTACCAAAATAGAGGAGTAATAGTTTCTTCTTGGTCAATACTATTTTTTACAGAGTAAAAGTCAGTGAGACCAAGGTTAGTAATTACTCAGTTGGTACAGTTAAGGAGAATATTAGATAAAATATTAATAAGCTGCTGAGGCATTTGTAGTCAGATAAGGGATTGCTTAAAAGCTTAAAGTTAACTAAATCATATATTTTGCTCATATCTTGTAATAGTAGCCAGAGTTGGTTGGATTGGCAATTGGCATCTTTGATAATATTGTTGAGAATATGTATAGAGATGAAAGTAGAGTTGCTAGGAAGAGCAACATAGTTATAAAGTAAAAGAATCTTGTATTGCTATAACACATTAATAAAGCAGTTTGTAAGAAGTTTAGTATAGAGTTTTTTAATGTGTTCTACTAGGCTGATAGGTTTAGTATTAGATAGATCATTGTTAAATATAGGTTTTTTAGAGATAGGAAAGATATGGCCCTCTTTTTATTATTTAGGTATAGTATGGAGTTTGAGGCAGTGGTTAAAAGAAAAGTAATTGCAAAAGTAAAGGAAGAGCCAGCATGTTTAATTATTTCATTGCTAATGTCTGAAAGACCACATGCTTTATTATTGGGGAGTTGGCTGATGATAAAGATTATTTCTTCTTGAGTAAAATCAAGCAAGATGTCAGAATACTATTCAGGATTTATATTAGGTTTGAGGTTGTACTCTAATTACTAGTGAGATTGAAAGATGTTATAGTAAATATTACGAGATGCAGTTTAATCGTCAAAATGTTGTTGAATATGTGATTTAATAGTTTTGAGGTCAGTAATAATATCATTGTCTAATTTGATATTGCTAAACTTGACAAGGTCTTTGTGGCGATTAAGAATACTATTAATCATAGAAGTAGAGTAAAATTGGAGTTTAGTACATCTTTTATTTATAGATTCATTAATCTGTTGTCTGATTTCTTTGATATTTTCAATATTATGGACATGGTAGATGTTTTTCTATTCATTATTAGCATCAGAGATCTATGATAAAAGATGATGATAGTATGAAGGAACAAGGAATAATTGAAAACTAAGTGTTTGATTTAGTTAGAGAATGTTGGGGTTTAGATTAAGAGAAATTGAAAAATTGTTTTTAAGGGAGTATTTGACTTGGTGAATAATGCTGCCAAGTTTTTTGAGACTTGAGTGTAGTAGAGAGGCTTTGCAGAAAAAAACATATTGAAAGTTGCAAACAGTAAATTTTTTATTAGGATTATGTTTAAGTGCAGCTAAGATAACTCTGGTTTGGATTTTATGCCAAGTAGATTTGATAGATACATTAGTAACTACAGAGAGAGGAGTAGAGTTAGAAAGGAGGTTGGTATGAATCTGATTTGAGAATTCCTCTTATTTGTTGAAGCTCATTGCTTTGTAGTTAAAAACTCTTTGACAGGTTTAGGTTTTGTGTCTGCATTGACCAGAAAGAGTATAAAGAAATGACCAGCAAGAAATTAAAATTTTGTAATTACTAAGTAAGTTAGTATTAGTATCATCTATTTCAAAGGAGGTGAGTTAAGTTAAGATTGTGTAGTAACTTCAAATATAGTCAATTTCACTACTATATCTAGAGCTCTGCTATGTAAAGGAAGAAGAAGAGGTATGAGTAGCAAAATTATACATGTTGTTAAAAGTAAGAAATTGAAGAAGTTTAAATTTATTAGAGGAAGATAGTTTTGTATTTGCAGAAGTGTTGAAATTACTAAAAATAATAGGAAGTAGGTTGGAAAAGATTGCTTGCTGAATCCATTGTATAATAAGATTTTGAATTTTTAATCTTGCAGTTGGGTTGTTACTGGGAAGGTAGATAGAGATAATACAGAACTTGAAATTATATTTGAAGAAGAGATCTATGAATAGAGCATATCTAGGGTAGCTATTAATTTTGTAAATATAAAAAGTAAGATGATTTTGAATCATAATAGCAGTGCCTGCTTTGAAACTATCTGTGCAAGACTAATGATAGGTGTAGAATTGGGTTGAGTAAGGTTTAGAGTAATATGAGTTGTTAGCAAGTTTGGTTTCTGTTAAGCAAATGATATCAAGTTTATTAGCTAAACAGTATTCGTCTCAAATTTGTTGTTTGAGCTATTGATTAAATTTATGAATGTTGTATGTACAGACAGAAAGTTAAGAGGAGAAGCAGTTAAGTGAGAAAAAGTACATGCAGTAGTAGTAGAGTTGTAAGAGTAATGAGAAGAGGATTTAAGAAGAATAAAAGGTTTAAGATAGATAATTTCAAAATAGGGAACAATTATATGGTTAGAAAGTAGGCAAGGTTCTCTAGGGAGATAGATATAAGCTTTACTGTAGTCATTTTTAATTGATATAGCAATTTTGTCTTGGAGGTTACCCTATAGACCAGTTATGAGTAGATGTAAAAAAAAGGAGTTAAGAGTTTGGAGAGATGAAATTGGGAGGAGTTGTTGTAATATAAGACATTTGTTAAAGCAAGTAAAAGGTTCAAGAGAGATGAGAGGAAGTGTAACTTGAACCTTAGGAATATCTTCTACAAGATCGCTCACCATATACCTGGCTTTTACAGTTTCGCAAAAGTTAGAAGTACTTTGGTTTAGTATTAAAGTATTGTTATTATCATACTCTATTAGGTAAATAGGCTTATCCACCTATCTACTTACATCATTCTTCTTACTAACTACTAAGGATATATTATTTAATAAGATCGTGGCTGCTTCGATATTGTTTGTAGAAGACAAATTTATTGAAAAGAAGACTTAAGAAAAAGTGAGTCTAATGTAGGAATAGGGTTGAAATTGAGATTAAATTTTTTCTTGAGAAAATCTTTTGCTTGGAGATAAGCAGTTTCTTTTTAATATTTGGAGATTGGTAAGAAAGTTGGTAATTGGTTTTTAATTATATTATAATATGCGATAACATGTGCTAGGAAGTAATTGTTGATAAGTTTATAGATAAGAAAGTTGTTAGCATTATTTTTGTCTTTGCTGAGGATATTGTGGTTTTGTGTGGCAGTTGTATGATATAGAAAGAGATATTCATAGAAGTAGTAGCTATGGCGTCTTGGGCTAGAGGGAATATTGTTAAAAGAGCATGCTTCCTGTTTTGTTGCTTTAGCTAGTTCTTCTAAAACTTTGGTGGGGCAAGGTTTGGTGGAGGAAGCTTCATAGTTTTCATCAATATAGAATAGAGAGGCATTAAGAGTAGGTTGTTTAAGTATTTCAGATTCTTTTTTAGAAAAGATATTAAGTGATTGGTTGGGTATATCCTTATATAGCTAGTTTCTGTTGTAAAAAAATTTTTTATTGCGGTAAGGGCAGTTTCTACTATGATAGAAGAGCATATAAAAGTTGGTTGCTTTGATAGCTTCATATTCACATTAGAGAGGGCCTTGTAGTTCATAGAATTCAAAGCTATTAGGTAGTAATTTAATCAATTGGAAGATAAGTAGTTTATAAATTTTGTTTTTAAGGGAAAAGTAAATTTTTTTTATCAGGTGGGGTAGTAAATTGGTAAGCATAATTTGGGTAGAATTTGTTAAACCATTTTTTGAAGTAATTTAGTAAGTTGTTAAGAGATAAAATTTGGTAGTTTTGAAGAAAGATAGTTTTGGGAATATTGAAAAGAATTTGAATGTTAAATCTGGGATCTGATTTAATTTCAAATAATAGAAGGTCTTTATCAACATGTTATACTGATGATTTGACATTGAGATGTTTGGGTCTAAGATCGAAGTCTTTGGTGAATTTTTTGTAGTTGATTGATTGATAATTGTTGAACAGAAATAGATAAAGATGTGCAATGTTAAGACAAAGTTGAATATGGTTTTGGATCTTATATAGAGAAATTGTAATGGGTGAAGCAAAAATTTCTTTGTAATTAAGTTTGATAAAAAAAATAGTTGTAAATTGAAGGATGATGTTTTTAAGTGTATTTTTTAAATATTCAAAGGGGATGATTGCATTTTTATCAATATGTGAGTTGTGATCGAAGATTAAAGCAGTAAGAAATTCTGAACGAGAACTAGCCATGGTGTGAATGAGGTGTTTGAAAGATGCTTTATATGTGGGTTGATGTAGTTTATCAGGTTTGATTTCCTTTCCAAGATAGAAGTCATAAAGATACTTTTTAAGGAATCTGAAAAGCTGGTGAGACAGTTTAGATTGCAGTTTTTTATTAGGTTCCATATTTGCAATGATAGGAAAGTTTAAAAGCCAGTTATATAATGGATTGACTTTGGGTTTATTAGGAGGGGAAGGAGTATTAGATTGGTTTTGTCTTGGTCTTGGTTAGTAGTTGGAGATTAATTGTTGTTATTGTTATTATTTGGGTTAGTTTTTAAAAAAAGAGCACTAACTTGTTACTCTTTTAAGTTATTATCTTGGTGTTGATTATTATTAAGATCACTGGATTGTGTTTGGGAAGTAATGTCAGAGTTGCTAGAAAGAGATAAAGGGAGATCAATTTCTATATTAGAGTTGTTTGAGGAAGGCTCCGGTAATAAGATAAGTGAAAACAGGTTGTTGAGAGAGTTGGCTTGCTTGGTTTCGAAGTTTGGGTTAGGGTAGATGTAGTATAAAAATCTAATTGTAGTTGTAATTGCAAAATAATATTAGGTTGTAGATTAGTTTTTGGAATTGGGCTATTGATTAAGAATAAAGTAATAGAATTTTTAGATTGTGTTGTTGTTGTTGTTGTTGTTGTTGTTGTTGAAATGTTGTATTAAACCGTTGGTTAGTGACTATGAGAGAGGCAGTAGAAGTTGTAGAAGATTTATTAAATTGGTCAATATATTGTTGAAGAGCTTGGTTGGATAGCATAGATACGGTAGAAGTGGAGAAGCTAGCTAAACAGCTAGCATGATAGAAACTTCCTTCTTGCTAAATAATATCATCTTGTGGAAGGTGTTGATCATTAGCAGATTTGCAGGTGATTATAACCTAGCACTTAGAGCATGTATGAGTATGAAGAGCAGGGAAAGATATAGAAGGAGTATTATTATTATTATTGTTTGAGATATTTGTTTGGATAGTAGAGATTGTGAAATAGTTTGTGTTATATTTTGCAATTGTTAAGCAAGTTTTTTGGTTTGAAAGTTTGCAGTAGTTGGGTTAATATTATGATTGAAATCATAAATTCAGTCATTTTGGGCAATAAATTTAGTATAGTATTTTTTACAAAAGCAAGTAATCTGAGCAGTAGAGAGTAGAGCAGGAAAAAAGTGTATAACTTTTTGTTTATTACAAAAATTTTTGTTAAAGCATGCTGTTGGTCAAAAGCTTTTAGAAATAGGAATAACAATATCATGTTTATCCTTGTAGATTGCTACACTATAGTTTCTGGAGTATTTTTGATAAAAGTAGTCAAGATCTACAGTATCAGATACTTGAGCTATAAGAGTAGGTATGATAAAGTATTAGTAGAAAGAGATTCGAAAGAGGGTTATAAGATAACTAGAATCTGTTAAGTGTATATTTGTAGTAGTGTGCAAAATAGCAAGTAGATTATAGAGTACAACAGATAAATATAGAGTGTGATAAATAAAAACAGAGGTGTAACAAATAAATATAGAGATGTGGCAAATAAGCATAGAGTGTGATAAATAATCACAGAAATATAACAAATAATCTCAGGGTGCCAGGTAATCATGGGTCTGATTATCACGTGTAACAGATATATGTGTTATATTTATTTGGTTAGTACTAAAGGTTACTCCGTTTAAATTTAATAAAGTCAAATT